CACTGTGCTTATGCTTTAGACACTTACATTTTTTCTCCGTCCATGCAATAAATGCGCAGCCTACGACTGCTCAGGTAATGTCGTCGGTATGATCGAGAGCCATTGAAAAACTACAGAAAATAAATACTACTTTACTTTAGCATTACTGGCCACGAGTACTAAGGAGAGATCACACATCAGCTGCTCAAAATGTGTCAGTGAGACGAACGGAGCGCGAGCGCAATCCTGTGACAGTCACAGGCGGTAAATAGTGGAGCGTGTGAAGGAGAGATGCGAGGCACGAACACTGTTCAAGGTCTCCATTAATTCATGCTTGTAGTAATTTAATGTGTATATATTTTGAAAGCATTGAATCGCTATAGAAAACTCGATTCATTTGATTCTTAGCGTTTTAAATAGATTACGGTCCAAAACCGACGATTCACGATTCAAATGTTTCAAGATCGATGCATATGCATCGTCAGGACTTGTAATCGACGCATCGAGAAAACGAGTGAATCGCTACACCCCTATTAAAATACTATAGCATTTTATTTTATGAAAATGAGATTAAGAAGTTTTCGCACTCAAAGAACTTAAGACGTGCCAGGAAATGCCTAATATGGACAAATGCATCTATCGCTGCAGCTAAGCTGAATAAAAAGCAGAATGAACTGATGGAACGTTAACACACACAATAAATAATTTATGAATGATGCAGAGCTAATTGACATTTATTACAGTACAGGAACTATTAAGTATATTTTCTACCTAATTATGTGCAGAAAATTGAAATAATTGTTTGTAGTATATAAAACAATCATAAAATTGTCATTAGGAAAAAATTACAGATTACAAATGATTGATTATTGTCCAGCAGTGTATTTGATTTCTTCCGAATTCTGTCACTGTTTTGGAGCACACTGCTTTATAGATAACCTTAAGACTAACATATTGATACTAACACCCAAAAGAAAAAAGAAAAAAAAACACTTTAATTTTGATTTCATGGGGACTTTAAAGAACTTAGGGGAAGCATTTAAATAATCCTGTGAATGCACTTAAAGAATGCAGAATCGAATCGTTAATCAAATTGAATTGTGAATCAAATCAAATTGTTCTGAATTTGCAAAAATCGTTCTTGAATCAAATCAAAAACCTATGAATCGAATCGCTGTCTACCCAAAGATTCACAGCCCTACTATAGTTTTATTCCGTTTTCTCCATTCACAGAAGCGCTGCGGGTGCGTGTGATCGGTTGAATCTGATCTTACACCATCCTCGGATAAACTCTAATGCATTGCCATTGCGATTGACCTATGATGAGTTCACAGCTGAGCACGGGCATTTCACTCGTTGGATGCCTCAGCATCACATTTGCATAGGCCGTACTTGTCCAGCAGTGTATTTGATTTCTTATAGCAAATTCAAAGTAAGAGATAAGAAAAGAATTCCTTGTTAAAAAAAAAAAAAAAAAGTATATATATATTATAATAATAATAAATACATAAAATTATTGTATTTGACATTTCTGTCACTTCTGAAATTATGGATAAGCCCTTGGTGTGACAATGTTAGCCTATACATAATTTTAAAGCTCTTTTTTACAATCTTGGCTTACATACATTTTTACATATGCCATGTTATGCCATAGCATCATTAAACTAGCATCTAACAATGGACAAAAGTTTT